CACGTCTTTTGACAACACGACGTGCTCTTAGGTAGCCTCTATGAAGTCGACGGATCAATGTTCGAACACTAACACGACCACCTGGAGGCCAGTGGTGTCTAAGCTATGGGGTAGGAGTGAATGGGTTGGCTTTAGCACGACCAATAAGTAGTCTGTCATCACGATAGGTAGTTAAACGGGGTCTTCCGGACCTTGGTCTATCATTTACAGTTCCTGTGTTAATATGACGTTGTAAAAATCTGACAATGACGGTGCGATTAACATTGAAATGGTTACCAATGCTCCTAGTGCTCCTACCGGCATTCGACATGTCAATTGCTTGTCAACGTTCAGTCACAGATAACTTACCGCTTGCCATATTTCACAGTGACTTGGTGAAGGTCAAATTTCACCTGTACGCGGGACAGTAGGAAGATGATTTAAAGGCATCAAAACAGTGTATTTGTAAAAGTGCAGATGACCTTTAATAAAAGGTTGCTTGGCGGGTATATCGGAGTTTAATTTTTTTGGTCGTAATGAATTTTCTTAGTGTATGCTATAAGCAATTTATAACACCAAACATAAATATTTTTTTCGCAATAGTTAAAAAAATATTGACAGTTATATTTAGGTGGTGCTTAACTTTTGGCGGACTGTATATATGTGACATTTGACAAAACGTTATTTTGCCTGAAAACGATATACGACGAACTTTTAAGGCAAACAGTCATCTATTTGGAATAATTGACTAAAAAAAATAAATATCAAGAAACAAGAACACCATCAAAAACCGGGGATGTCTTTAGGTGTTGTTGTGTGAGTGTTTGCAGTTTCTATTGCACACTGTATTTAATCAACTCTCGTCTATGGTATAACTATGTACATAAGAGGACATGGATTGCAAATTTATTGTTCTTCCCTGGCCAGGATTCGAACTCATGCTACTGAGATATCGTGGCACCAAATCGCTTTGCACTATGCCCGACGCGCAAGTCCACTCGACCACCTAGGCTCGACAAAAATCAAGCTTTCGGTGGCCGGGTGTTACCTTTCCTCGTCAGTTTTTATCTAGCGTCGTAACACAGTACATGATATATAAAGCATGAAGATGGAATATTACAGATCAGCTGAATTATAAATATTACAGATCAGCTAAATGAGACAAGAACCCAACGACAAAAAAACCAACAGAGACCCATATACAGTCTTCAACAACAGAAAAATTTCTTTACAGTATATTTCACCAAGCTCTAAATCTGTCGTAAATATATGTGATTACATAAAATGAGTCATAAACCAAAGAGGGTTGTAGGCAATAGGCCAGAAGCGTGGTTCCGTTATTATTATATAATGACTTAATATTTCCTTTTTAAAAAGTAAAATGTTTAATTTAAGTAACAAAAAGAAAGAAAATCAAACACTCAACGATGAACGGATGCATTTTTAAAATATGAATTCAAAGTTTTATCTATTGATGTTTATCATCTCATTATGTGAGAAACACGTAAAAATGATTTTGATAGGAGATAATCTTTGCGGCAGAAAGTACATGTAAGTTATGATAAATTATCTATCTTAAATTTCGTATTTTGCTTTTTATTGTTTAACGATAGCATAATAGGGACATATTAGTACTAATAAAATAGGCATACATTTGACATTTCAATTTAAAAATTTCGACTAACGGTCATATAGCTGACGTCAAAACTTTATAAGATTTTAAGCGTAGAAACTTCGACTATAAAAATATGTTTAGGACAATTTATTTTCACTCTTCCCATTGTTTTCCATTTGGATTTATGACTAACTTAATCATCTGCATTCATTTAGACAAAAGGCACTGAAAAAAAAAATGTACTTAGGGAGCTACCATTTGATTTTTATGGGGGGGGGGGCTAGGATGAAATTTGAAAAAAATAGGCAGGACAGGAGTTTTGAGTAAAAAAAAGGCAGGATGAGCAACTTGGTAAAAAAAAAAAGGCAGGATGACAATTTGTGTAAAAAAATTCAGGATAAACTAGTAAAAAAAAAGGCAGGACCGAATAGAGTAAAAAATAAAAAGGCAGGACAGAGATTACAACTAAAAAAAAAGCAGGACAAAATTTTTCATCCTAGCCCTCCCCATAAAAATCGAATGGTAGCTCCCTTAATACTCTATTCTGTTTTGCAAACAAACAGTGTATTTGTAGTTATTTATACTATCTTTTTTATGGGTCTAATGTTTAGGTTTCTTATAGCCTTTCGTTTGTATCAATGAATTAAAATAAAGTAATACTATATAAGTTTAAATCGTATGCAACACATTGGCTGTGATAACATTTACAAAAAACATCTGCTTGACAGTTTAAGATGTATTCTCCGGACGGAAAACATTTTATATACGTCTAATCAGAATATTTACATCCGTATAATCGGGTTTAATAATTTTTTCACATAATAACAGGCTGCAAGAATACATGTCACATCGTCCGAAACGTAATACATATCTAAGAATTAAGTAGTCTTTACAGTTACTCATGCAAACTGCATGGCTTACGTAACAAAGACGCAGAATATATTGATTTAACTTTTTACTCAGTTGAGAATCAAACACACGACCTCCAATCTAGGCGAGAACACTGTCACCAGAAAATCAAGATGCTGACATGAAAACCGTGTTTCGAAAATTAGACATGTAAACCCCGTCTTAATATGCGACTTAAAATTATTATGCGGATGATAATCAAGTATCAATAAAACAGATATTGGGTTTAGAGTCAGTGACACAGTAACCCACTGATGCAAAAAACCAAATGACCTCCAGAGATCAACAGGCATACACAATAATTTATATTAATAGTCTTTCAGAAATTGGAAATGACAATTTAAAGTTATCTTCCACATCTTATAATAATTTAACTACGGGGTTCCCATGCCTCTATTTTTGCATATCTGTTCACTGTTATAAATGCAATAAGTTCTATATAGGGTAGGTATGAGTTTGGTGTTATAGCATATACACTTAGATTGCTTGTATAAGTGTGGGGAGAAATTTTGTTTCATAAATAATTCTTGATATCCCTTCTTGTCCACTATTCTGAAAAACTTTGTTTCTCGTAAGTTGTTGTGTGGAGAACGTAACCATTACCCTTGTTGTTCTTGTTTATTTTTATATTTACTTATTCTCTTATGTGTTTTACTTAACTTTTCTATTTCAGTCTTTTTTTTTATCGAATTTTATGTGCTATTCACCCGTCTCATTTGCGCTCTCCGTACAATATTTTCTGTTGAGTTATCTAATTAAATATCTTCTTGTTTCCCATGGCTACCTGATTGAATACATTTAGGTCATTAAATGCAATTGTCGAGCACATACCAACTCTGTCACAGTGTTTTACTGTCCGTATTAGTCTGGAAGGAGTAATATAAAAATAAGGAGAGGTGGTATGATTGCCAGTGAGACAAATGTCCACCAAAGTTCAATTGAAGTGTAGGTAAGCAATAATAGGCAATCGTACGACCTTCTACAATGAGAAAAACCCATACCGTATAGTCGGCTATAAAAGGCCCCGACATGAAAAATCTGAAACTATTCAATTCAGAAAACTAACGGCCTAATTTATAACAAAACAATTTACAGAAAACAAATATGACAGACATGAACCAACTACAACCACTAAACTACAGACTTCTGACTTGGGACAGGCACATACAGAATGTGGCGGGGTAAAACATGTTTGTGAGCTCTCAACCTTCCCCTAACCTGTGACAGTGATGTAACAGCACAACATAAGAACAAACTATAAAAATCAGTTGAAAATGGCTAAGTTCGGTAAGGGCTATATTTGGACCCGATTATTAAGTTCAATGTTTCAACATAATAAACGTTTGAAGTTGATAAAAAGACATGTGTGTAAGTTAAAAAGAACTATCTATATTTGTCAAAGTTTTATTTTAAAGCATTGATTTGTACCTCCCAAACAGGTAAAAAAAGAGATTTTTACGAAATTTGACAAAATCGTCCGGATTTCAATCACATTAAGGTCATAGAGCGCAGGCGTCGACAAACTAAATATGCAAGTCATATATGTAAAATGTCATAACAAACATTATGTTAAAAAAAAAGCATGTGCTCTATGTTTCATGTTAAAAACATCAATGAAAAGTTACTCGTTTTCATACAAGTGAGAGGTTTAGCTAGCTATAAAACCAGATTTAATCAACCCTTTTCTACATAAGGAAATGCCTATACCAAGTCAGGAATATGACAGTTGTTTTCCATTCGTTTGATGTGTTTGAGCTTTTGATTTTGCCATTTGATAATGGATTTTCCATTTTGATTTTCCTTGGAGTTCGGAATTTTTGTTTTTTTACTTCTTTTTTCATTAAATTTTCGTGAAAAATGAAAATGAGTGCTATTTGTGATGTCATGAATAGAACGCAAGTACGCAAATTTCAATAAAAGGACATATTTCCTATTTAGTCATTATATTAGTTATGGTTCATTGTGATATTTGTAAAAAAAATCCTAATTTGAAATTGAAACTAGAAATAGAGATCATTTTAGGACCTTATCGAACTTACTCCTTTGAGTTTTTGTTCTTAAATGTATTCAATACTGATAACGAAATCTTATATAGATTTGTCACGACCGGTATTTGGGTGAGGCTTTATTTAGTGTCAAAACCCCAAGGTTTTGGAGTAATAGCTGTTTGTCTTAAACAATTACTTGATGCCAATTTGAAATTTTATTAAATTGTTGACCATATTGCACAAGAGTTTTGCTATCAAAATATTTTGTTCGCGTTTAAAGTTAAAAACATATTAACAGATGTAACTTTGTAAATGTTTCATTCACAGGAAAAACAATTTTTCATTGCCTTTCAAACTGGTTAAAATAATAGCATCACACATAAGTAAAATAATGACATACCATCCGGACTTGAGGTTTTTGGAAAACCAATGATCTTTATAACGGAAATAAGTACTATTTATTAAGATATGATATCTAAAAACGGAAATCATTTCTTCGTTGATTTTAATACTGAGAAGAAATTTAGTTAATTCGATATGGTTAAAGAACTTTGTTCATTTATATTGTTACTTTTACTTATTGTCAGCGGTTTTACCACTGGACTAAGTACGAGAGAAAAAAATGCATGTCCTCGGTACATAAGGTCAGTAGATTTAAATGCTATTGAAATCTCATTATATACAGATTTGTTCGTTAATTCAATTGTTTTTACCCATTTTCAGCCGAGTTTTAATTCTGTTATTGTAAATGTGTGGCTCTGCTTTTCCATCATGTTTCGAAAAAGTTGTTATCTTCTATGTCATTTGGTCTCTGGCGGAGATTTGTGTTATAGGCAATCATACCACATCTTCTTATTTTTATATACCTTTGTATATGGTTGCTTTTATTTTTGTTATACCGTCTTCTTGCATAATAAAACAAATATCATAGTTACTGACAGAATTAGATAAAGGAACAATAAATCAACTACATACAATTCAAATTTTCACATCGTTGTGTAACTATTAAATCTTTTAGAAAAAAATATTTTCTTTTTACGACTATTTTAGCGTATAGGATGGTGGACATTTGGATGTTTCATAAATGGAATAGAATGTCAAAACATGCAAACATTTCTAAAGACTTTTTTTTAAGCATCAGGAACATTTTAAAGTTTTAGACAAAATGGTAGAATGGAGTTGAAATTTTTGTTAATTTATGATAGATTACGTTTTTTCCATTTTTTTTCAAGACACCCATTTATTTTGTTTCTAAGATTAAGATTTTTTATACGAATAAGATAAATATCTTTTAAAAAACCATTTTATACCTCCATTTAAAATAACGCAGACCTTAGAACATTCTTTAATCCGGACTCTGAATTTATATTAATGTTTTTATTCAAGTCGAGGAATAGTATTGACAAATGCATCAAACAGATACGTCAGAGATGATAATAAGATACGTTGGAAGACATAGAAATATTTTGAATACCTTCCAAAGAAATACGTGTATTTAAAAAAAAGTAGGCGTACATGTTTATTTTGGCTTTCCGGAATTTACAATTTTCTATTTATCCTTGTTAATTAGAAAAAAAGGCGTACGGCAAAACGAATCAATCGTGCAGAATTTAATATTTACATGAACATTTTTTTTTATCTTTTACTTTATTATTATTTTGGATTTTGTTCGGATTTTTTTACTTTTGTTTTAATTTTTTGGGGAAGGTCAATACCTTTTTTTTTAAATTAAAGATCTCATTTCAGTCTTGTTTAATACGTAGGCTACATAATTATAATCAATATCATGATACAAGATGACGTTCGCGTTTGTGTGTTTTTTAGTGTATATTTTAACATAGTTTTGTGATTGCGTGGTATTGGAACATCTGAATACGCCCACGCTTTTTTTGTGGGGTTCACATTGCTAATACACTAGTTTTGTGTGACGCTTTTGTAGACAGTTGTTTGTCCGATCGATTTTCTTCTTTTGGTCATGGTCTTGTCAGCATTTCTCAATGTGGACTTGGAATCGTTTACTCTTTTTAAAAAACAGAAGAATATGTACATTGATGTAGCTATTTATGTATATGTATTTTTGTCTCAGTCTCATTTTGATCTATATTTCTATATTTATGCATTGTCCTGTTACCTCATTTCATGCATGTAGTACAGTTTTATACATCTGAATTACATTGAACCTTAAATTTCTTCAATATTTAACCATTACATCAACATAAGTTTAGTTGTTCTCATGTCATTTGAAATGAATTTACTACTAAATTTCCTCATACCCAAGTCCCATGGAAATAAGAATATTTTGTTGTTGAGGATTTGCACAATTGATTTCCCAAAACTTGCTTGTAGAAGTGCACAAATTTTCCCCCTGCCAAATAATTTCAATTTGACAAGAATTTGGATCCAAAAATGACACAAGATATGACAAGTATTACTTTTTAAAGCGTGTTTCTCTATTGTTTTATTTTACTATTAGTTTTATAATGTATTGGTGATATTGGAAATATTTTTATGATGTTTTTAATTAGATCTTCAACGTAATCGCATGCTAAAATTACATAATTTTATAAAAAACATGTTTTTCTTTGCACACGGGTTTTAATTGCAAATGAAAACTACCATTATTCTAAATGCGACAGATCCCAACTACATAGAAGGAAAACCACTTAACAAATCCAAGTATATTGAAATGAAGTTGCAATGAAGAGAATAATGTTTTACCAAGTTTGAAGTCATGGTTTTATTTAGTTATATATACATCTATATTGTTTAAGACTACGCTTGTTTATTTATCATTTAAACAACTACAGTATTAATTGATTTTTTGCTTACAAAGGACTTCGAGTTCTAGAGCAGAATAAAATGAATATATTGATTTCCTAATTTTGTTCTGTTTAGACGAATGAAGCCAGATGGACAGTACCATAGAGTATTGGAAATGACATGTTGTCCTGATTATATGGAAGTGGACAATCGGTGTATAGGTAATAAACGGCCTTCTAGATAAAAAGAATAGTCAATGCTTGCTTACAGACATTATGGACCTTTTTAATACAGTTTGATATGTTGGTTTGTTTTATGTGTTATCTACTATGCCGTAGCTTTAGTACCGTAAACTTGCTTTTCTGTACCTATTTATATGGTATACTTGTACGAACATCATGTTAGTACAACTATAATTCGAGATTAAAAATGGAAGGGTAGAGATCTCAAAAGAAAAGTGTAACCCCACTACACATTTATGTGACTTTCCAAAGTCAGGATCATTGTCAGTTATTGTCTTATTTCATATTAAAATGTTTCGTTTGTTTATTTGGAATAAATGAGAAAACGGTGAAATGATTCTAAGAGAAATACAAATTTTATCAATGTGATTTCTACCTTAATTTCATGAAATTTTGAGAAAAATGTAAATGTTGTAAAAAAACCAACAATTTCGTTTTCAGTAAAAAACTCCGTAAATTGTAGTTTCAATTTGAAAACAAGGTTAATTTCATTATCAAAACAAGATACTATTTTTCAGCGTGTCCTGCAGGCCATTTTGGGCAGAACTGTAGTGTTCCATGTCTTTCCGGTAAATATGGACAACAATGCAAATTGACATGTAATTGTTCACGTGACCGATGCGACCCAAAGACTGGTTGTAAGTGTAAAGCAGGGTTTATTGGAGCGCACTGTAATAAGGGTAAGACAGGGTTTTGTTTAACATAGATTCAACCATCCCCTCCACAATAAGTGCAGTTAATTAATTTACTGCAAATGCATAAGTTAACCAGGATTTGTTAAGTACAATTTTGTGTCTACTGATTATGTCATGAACCTTTGCATTCAAATTATTTGGAACGAAAGCGAACTATTTCCTAATAGTAGAGTAAATTTAGAATTAAACAGAGTTTTATGATCCATTTAAAAACTCAGGATCAAACAAAGGGATTTTAATTATTAAAACGAAAAATGCGTTGACCAGAAATGTCAGTTTATAAAGCCTACTTCATCTCAACCTCTCTTTATTATATTTTACTTTTATTTCTAAAACTTTTAATTATATTGACCAAAGGACAGCTTTGATACAACTCTTCTTATGGTCAGGAGAAAAAAAACACGAACAAACAAACAGTTTTTAATGTCAGTTCACAAAACGCTGCATATATAACTCCCACAGAAAAACAGAAATAAAATCAGTGGATCCGAAAGAAAATCGACCGTCTAGACATTAAATCCATGAAAAATAATTCTTCATAATCATTAATTTTGTACTTTGCATGAAAAAGTCGAGAACTCAAATATACGATTTCCATACGAATCATAATTATTGAACGTTTTTTCCTTATAGAGTGTCTAGATGGATATTACGGAATGGATTGCCAATCTATTTGTAAATGTTCAGAAAACTCTGACTGCGATCATGAGACAGGCCATTGTAGTTGTCACATAGGTTATGAAGGCAGATTTTGTCATGACAGTAAGTCCATATAACTTTTTTTTTTTTTTTTTTTTTTTTGTTACATGAAAAATAAAATGACATTTTTTCTAGCATGTCTAGGGTGTAAATGTCATAGAGGGACACGAATAACGTCACTGATACTTACCAATTTGTCTGAATTTTTTGCTCAGATTATTTAATGTATTAAAACACGGATCTTCATAAACGGATATAGAAAACATTTTAAGACCAGTTTCAATACCAAATAACAAAATGGCACTAAATCGCATGTGTTTGTATAATATGCAGTCTTGTATCAGAGTTTAATGTAGATACATGGATCAATATACGGATATTGAAAACGTTTTTAAATCGATTTGAAATACCAAATAAACATTTGGTACTAAGTATCATATCTTAGTATAATAAGTATTTTGTTCATTTCAGTTTGTCGTGATCAATTTTACGGACAGGATTGCTCACTTAATTGTAGTTGTCCAAATCAGGTACCTTGTCATCACGTGAGCGGACATTGCTTATGCCCAAAGGGTTTCAAGGGAGAAAACTGTGATGAAAGTAAGTAAACAAATTGTGAGAGAGGCGTCTATGAAGTTTATTGTTTGACTTATTGAGGTACCTGGCAATTATACAATTACACATGCTTTCCATGAGTCGAACGTAACAAAACAATACCAACATGTTTGTCATAAAAGTCTGAATAAATGTTTAGTAATGAAACAGTCACCAATCAAGGGTATCACTAACTTAGTAGCCAGGTTGCATGTGGTATTTAACTATTAAATACTTGGTGGTTAAACCTATAATATTACACAGACACTGTAAGTAAATTCTGAAACGGATCAACGATTCATGTTGCCAATAAAAGTATTTAATTCTGCGCATTTTGTTTTGGGTCTGTTTTTTTATACGCCAACCATACATGAAAATCATTTCAAAGATAAGTAGAATGATGAAAAAGATAACATACGAAAGATGTTTTTAACGAATGGATATCGGATTATTGAGAGAACAACATGTTCGTTTTTTTACAATCATTTTTGTGTGATCAATTGAAAGGAAATGTTATCCGGGCATATGTATATTTTTGTATTTCCTTGTTCAAAAGACATTTATAAATAGAAACCGGGATAACAAGATCACATTTTTTATTTCATATGACGAGGTTTTAAATGTTACTACTTAAAATATACTCATTTGTAAAACACACACGGAAATCTGAAGATAGTTCATTTTGTATCGATCAAACTAACGTCTGTGTTTTATATTATTTAACATGATAAACCTATCGTAAATAACGACGGTAAACCAGTTTAGGAAAGTTGATACAGAGCATTTTAAACAGTCATGTGGTATTTACAAACATGTATCCTCATTATAATTAGATTAAATGGTACATGTAGATGTTGTTGATAACTTACATTGCAGGCCTGTCCTATTTATTGAACATTCATATATATTAAAATGTTAAAAATGATATGTTCTATTTAAATGTATGTAAAATATTAATTTTAGGATGCCCGATGGGTACATTTGGCGGAAACTGTCTTGGTACATGCAATTGTGTAGAAGGAACATGTGATCCAAAGGACGGAAAATGCATTTGTAACCCGGGTTATTCCGGTAGATTGTGCAATAAAAGTAAGGTAGTCGTAATGAGAGCTATGCAGTGCAATTCATTTGCTTATATCGATATAAATATGATGAATAACCACATATTTATATACTTTTACTATTCAATGTTTAATGCGTATTTGATTTCAAATATTTTGGCCTCCAGCATCCCCAAAGAGACATTTATTGTCGAGATGCTCATCTGGTACTGTTAAATTGGTAGCGTAAATGTCATTAACAAAATTATTAAATGTTAAAACATATTGTGTACCTATGAATACATCACTAAAAATCAGCAAAGAAGTTTATCGTTGTTCAGATCTCATGAATTTATTGTTTTTTTTAAAGAAAGAAAAACCTGTTCGAATCGCGTAACACTTAAATGAGTAAGATCGGATTACTCGACTTGGAAAGCGTCTCCTGCTATACATTATCACCCACCATATCCGTATAATGTTAACATGCAACACACTTGATAAAAAAAAGGTGCGAACAAGCCATATCAGAATCAAGAGATGTGGTGTAATTGCCAATGAGACAACTATCCACCAGCGTTCAAATTCCGCGGATATTAGCAAATATAGGTCTAAATAGGTGTATAAATGAAGAAAACAAATTGGAAACAAGGTGTGTTAGAAGTTTTCTATGAGAGTATTATTTAGATCCAGTTGTTCGAAATGAAATTAACATAAAAAGCTGGAAATCCAAAGGATTAAACTAAACAGCATCCAACATGAAATATTCTCTGAAGTGGTTCAATTAAATCAATAAAATCAAGCCATAAGTATAAACAGTGTTGAGGATACCACTGGTGAGTACAACATCTGATAAATGGGAAACACCAAATTGAGACAGCGATCAACATGTATAACAATTTATTAAGCAGATGCATAAAAACCTTCCTCGTTCCATAAGAATACTTGGTTTACGTAACAGAAACAAACAACATAAATAGTAAATAATGTAATGCTTTCCTGGCATAATTAGATTTTATTAATTGTTACAGATTGTCCACAAAACTCGTTTGGCATTGGATGTAATTCAACCTGCACTTGTGACACCAATTCAAGATGTCATCCTGTTACTGGGGAATGCTTGTGTCAGCCTGGGTTTTACGGAAAAGACTGCAGGAAAAGTAATACAGTTTTAATCAAAGATAACTTGCATATCGTCCATAGTTGAACGGTGTATAAGGAATTTCACTTATGTTTTAAAGATTACACTCAGATTTCAGATTTTAAATTCTCTTTTCAGCCACATTTATAAAATTACGCATTCAATCCAATTTTTATGTAAACCTTTCTCTGAGTAAAAAATTTCTTATCAAACCATTTAAAAAGAAATTCGATTAAATGTAAGAAAACAACTGAATGGAAATCTGGCATCAATTAAAATTTTAACTTATTTTCAGAATGCAGTCCAGGATCCTATGGGCCTGGCTGTATATACAAATGTAAATGTTCCAGAACGTCAGTATGCAACATACAGACTGGTGAGTGCACTTGTGATAGAGGATGGACCGGGGTAAATTGTGACCACAGTAAGTTATTATCTTTAATTGATTTTAAGTTGAGACGTCCCGAAACAAACTTATTGTTAGGGTAGTTTTCCCTTTTGGCATAAGTTTTGCTACATACTGGTGTGTTTTGTAATTTCTTGATCTGTATTTGAATGCATCGACTAATGAACTTTTTAGTTATTTACAGTTACTACATGTAGACTAACTATATAAAATATAATGTCGAACGCTTTAATCAAATTTTAATAAAAGTAATCTGTAAACAAGATAAAATAAAAAAAAGAAATCAGCTCATAAAGTAATCATATTGTCACTGAAGCCTTTTTCAAACGAGGGATTATAAAAACCGGCAAGGCACGGCTTCAAAAATACTATGGTTTTTGCTCATTAGTTTCATATTTGACATGTATCGCATGGTTTTGATGTGCGTAACTTCCACAGGAACTGTTAACATAACATAAAATACGTGGATAATTGAATTTATGGATAAATTATTTTATTTAGAATGTTCCTCTATTTACTACGGTGCTGGATGTCTTCACCGCTGTGGCTGTTTAGACAATCAACATTGTCATCACGTTACTGGTGACTGTCAATGTGAGGCAGGGAAAAAGGGGTTGAACTGCAATGAAAGTGAGTTTTGTTTTTATAATTATTCGAAAGGGCATTTACAATTGACAATTACTTATCGTTTTAACAACTTCACGGAAATTATAACTGCCAACAATCAAAGTTTAATTTTATATTTCCTGTTTGTTTGAGTGTTGTTGGCCAGACGTGTTGTTTGTTTTGATTTTCTCACAAATACTGAACTTATAACGGATAGTCATGAACATGTCAAAGTCGAATGATTCAAAAGACAAAATAAAATAAAAGGAAACAGTTTTCCTCTAAACGCATCTATTAAACAAACATACAGCTAATATAAAAATGAAATGTGTGTTTTTGTATCCTACATTTCACAGGATAATATCAAATATGTATTTCCGTTTTAGCATGTGATGCTGGTACTTATGGGATCGACTGTGCAGACAAATGTAGCTGTCAACATTGCAGCTCAGTTGATGGAGTTTGTCAACAAATGCACGCCAGTAATGATGGTATATTATTGATAATAATAACAAATAACGAATTTGGTAAAACATCTTGTTGATTAGAAAACATAAAATGAAAATCAGAGACTCCGTAAGACATTTTATGACACTTGCATGCTAAGGTTTTGAGAAATCATTATTAGGACAATATCATATAAAATAATAAAAAAAAAACAGAGGGGATTAAATTTTGAAGAAACACTTCTTTTACATCGTCACATATTCACAAATCCGCCACGTCATGAGTATCGTCAGTGTTAATCTACAGTCATATCGTATTCATTTTAAATAACATATTCTTGAGGTATATGATAGATTGTATATGATATCGCTTGTTCAATATAACACTACGTGTCAACCCTCGACCAATACAATCCTCGAACAGTGCTGTTGCGATTTATTGGTGTCTCGGGTTGATATGAGTGTGATACTGAAAAACCCATAAGATATTTATAGATTCATTAACGAGTGAGAATTTGATATCACCTGATATCAATTCGCTTTATTTAATTTCAATACAATAATGACGAGCCTATTGCAAGTTTATTATTCCTATTTAAATTAAATAACTCGAGTTTATATAAAGCGTTATCCAATTTTCACGAGTTGTTAAACCTATTTTTCGCATGGTACACATACTCTTTGTGTTAAAAAGAAGTCATCGACTCGTTGATTTAGTCTTTTGCACGTACCACTATGACGTCATATGCCATGTTCTGGCGTCAAACTTCAACATCAGATATTTTAAAACTTTTTGTACGCTTTTGAATGTAAAAAGATATGACAAAAATAAGATATGCAGGTGAAAAGTGTGAGAGACAATATCTGAAAAAGTCTAATTTTTGGCAATAGGAAAAACCAAAAAAAAATGTCTTTAGAACCGGTATTTTAATAGCACAAATCGAAGAACACACATTGAGGATTTAGGTACTGTTGTCTGTAATACAAACAATTGTTAAATGTGGTAACAATGGCTATTTTAAAAGTGGTACAAAAAATTCCAGTTCTGTCCTGTTACCAAAGTGAAACAATTTTAAAAAGTTTTTAATGGGAATAAGGAATAAGTTTAAGATGCTATTTGTGGTTTACTTGTATATCTACAATAGTTTATCAAATGCCAATTATTTATTTTAGCATTTGCAATACAAAAGGTTAAGAAATATACTTAAATATAGTCCGATATGTCGGTAACATGAAAGAATCTTGAGTAACAGGACAAGTAACAGGACAGAGTTGGTAACAGGAAGGGAATTTTTTTTCAAAACAATTGCTTTATTTCATAGTTTTAGAAAAATACATCATTTCAGATTGGTCACAATTAGAAGATAACAGCAAACAATGTCATTTATCTTTTGAAACTGTATTTGCAAGATGAAAAATCTGCCTAGGTAATGAAAAATTCTAAAATAAATTCCTTTCTGTTACCATCTACTATACTAGAATTGCACAATGCTCTCTGCTGTTATCAAAAGTAAAAAAACCTGTCTTTTCATTCTATATACTGTATATTATGTTGAGATTTATTTTATATGATGATCATAACTTATATTAAATGAAATGGTTGGCATATAGTAGATTAACTTTGTGATTCATCAGTGAAATTGTCTTTAACATCCTTCCTGTTACTGATTATGGTTATGCTGTTACTTTTTATCAGGTAACATGACAGAGAACGTAACAGAAAGGAATTACACAGTACTTTTTGTCCTTTTATACGAATTGTGTAGAAGTTTACTTCCATCTACATATCAATTTAATAAGATACTATAAAAACACATTTACTGTTATAGTGCTGACAATGAAATATTCTCAGAAGGTACACAAAAAGGCTGTAACAGGAGGGAACAACAAAATTATTTTTCTCTAAATTCTAATCTTTGGGTAGTACGGATTTTTCAAACTGGCTGCGATTCACCTATACATATGGAGTCATACATTCAGGAAATGATGCTCTTCTCATTGCATTACAAGAAATAAAATCTTGGTCTTTCAAACGTTTCCAAAGGTGAAAAAACCCATTGGTAACAGGAGGGAAATTACCCCTTGGGACAAAATTCAAAAGACCCTTAACAATGCAAAATTTTATCACATGCTTTAGTTTTAACAAAATCAGACCAGTAAGGGACAAGTTTTCTATATAATCTATCATATTTGTGAAAATCGGAAGCCTGTTTACTTAATTTAGATATTCTTTGAATGATTTAGTTGTCAGAAAGCAACACCGGACAACATGTTATTTTTTCTTTGGAAAGGGGGGGGGGGGGGGTGTTGAACATTTAAATATTAATATTTTATTAGAAGAAATATAAGAAAGAGTGTTTTATTGGCAATAGTTGGTGCATAATATACTCTTGTTAATACTGAAACTTAAAATTTTCCAAACAGATGCCTGAATAAAAATATAATTGCTGGTGAAAGATGGAACATGAAAATTAGACTTTTTCAGATATTGTCTCGTGAGCGTTTAGTATATGATGAGAGAAATCACATAACTCTGCTGCCATGGACAACTGTACATCGTTTTGACCTATGAAAATCATTAATGACCTATCGATCAGGCAATGACAATGTAACAATTGTTTCATGATGCTGGATAAGCCAATCAAAATAACGTATGTTTCGTATCACTTCAACGTTTCACGCTCTTAGCAGTGTGATACGAGAAATTTCTCTTCGTGCACGAAAAAGATAAAAGGCCACAACCATCAGAGAATATCTATTTAAAACCTTTCGTTTCAGGACTATTATAAACTTGACAAATTGCAAGATCGTTTCTTTTTTACAATATGACGCAACAGTAATTTTATTACACAGTAAAATGTATTTTTTTCAGTATTTTGTATTTACACTTACAATTGCCTTCTTTTAGATAAAACAACGGTAGGAATATCAGTCGGTATAGTTGTGGGAATTCTTGTTTTGGTAGGATGCCTTTTGATTATTATCGTTTTGAAACGCCGAAAAAGTATGACAGCTGGACAGGAACTACAGAAGATGAAGAGGGATGATATGAGTAGTAATCATTACGAAGACATTAATGACTACGCTGAAATACCTGATTCAAAATTACTACCGAATTATCCTTACAGCTATGCCGATTCCACTGATGTTAAACCGCCCATCAAAGATAGACAACCGACAACAAAGAGAACACGGAATCTTTACTTGTCTCTCACTGATGCACAGAGATTCAGTAAAGTCTCAGTCTCAAGTGGGGATATAAAGAGTCATGGTGGTAGTCCGGACGACTATTTGAATCCATATACAGGATTAATAAGAGATGTCAAATGTGCTAGTTATCAAGAAATCAACCGAGACACAAAAGAACGCAAATCAAGCAATGAGAGTGATCAGTCTGAATCTGGATATGTGAAACCTTCGTCAGGAACTGCAAAGACAAAAGATAGCAACAACAGACATTGCAATGACTACATAGATGCACAATCGTCTATTAGATACAGCAATAGTAGCAACATAAACAGAATTACCAAGAAAAGCAGAAACGACAGCAACAGCAGCATCCAGTCTGGATACTTGAAGATGAACCCAAGTCTGAAGATGAAAGCAGAAACTGAAGGTGACAAAAACACAAGGGAAATGGATGACAATGGTAGTCTTAACAGTGTATTTCTTCCAAAGATTACAATAAGCAGTCAAAATGGTTCTACAGAGACCCTGAATATAAGAAGCGATGACTGAACACATCTGCAATAAAATATTACAATACTGTTATAAACAATGTATAGATAAACAATGAGTTTCACTGCCGATTTCAGTACATTCGTGTAAAATAAATGTATCAGAATTATGTAAATCATAATAAAGTGTTCTTGACGTTATCGTGCACATGCTTAAGTAATTTGATATTTTAAGGTATTCAATAACATGAAATAAGACAATTTAAAAGCGTGAATAATCATCATTTAAAAATAAAAAAAGGTACTAAATAGATTATTATGAGTTCAGCGGGGAATTACAATTTATGAACAAAAGAGTTTAAAAACTTCAGGTATCAGTTCTTATACAACTAAAATAGATCAAGATATATATAGTCGGTGTATGAAACTCTTGAATTTTCACATTTTTGTCATGCATGAAATTGTCATGTAGATTATTCAATATAAATAACAGGAGCAGAAGCTAAATAAATTAAAAAAAAAATAAAATCTGGAGGGCAACGTAAAAAAAAAATAGAAAAGTGTTCGTGTTGTTCAATTTTTAGCTTTTTGTTTGACTCTTGTTTCTGTTTTCGTTAGATCATATTAATGTTGTTGATCAAACTATAACGTACTTGTTAACCCCCTTGATATATATTTCTACTTGTTTTATATGCTTATTCTACAACAAGTCCCGAGACTAGAAACATTGTTTACATACTTGGTAGAGATCTATGATCTTTCTTGAAATTCATAATACACAACAATAAAAACATAACCAAGGACACCAATAGGGCAAACAAAACAAGCTACCCGAGCAACCCATCTCCATTTTTATCTCACCTAAATATAAGGATCAAGTGAGATATTCTCATCACTTGGCGTCCGTCGTCTGTGTCGTCCGTCGTTGTCGTCGACCATCGTCCGTTAACATTTACAATCATGATTGGTATAACTGCTTTAAAAACTGTGTCCGATAATCCAGCCTATCAGCCAACACGGCTGACATGGCAAAAATTGAACACAAGGGTAAAATGCTTGATTTGTCTATTATAATGAAAACTGTTATGGATAGAGAAAATCCAAAAGGGCAAACATGTTTTAAATTTTTAGATCTACCTAATATCTATTATCATCAACACTGGCAGACGACGTCTTATACGAGTTATTGTCCTTAAATGAAAAATTTTACCATTTATTTCATTTTTGGCTTATTCCTTTAAAACTATTATACTTAAAGAGAAACTATAATGCATAACTAATCAATTAGTTCTACAAATAAGTCAATATGGTCGAAATTATCAGTAGACTCCGTGCTTGTATTTGAGTTGTCATCCATTAATGACGGGTTTTTCGGGATTTTGTTTTTGCATTTGTGCCTATTATCTTCAAAAATTTTATTAAATAGAGACAAACTGTTAGAGCAAACATTATCTGCAAGACAAGATCTACAAATAAGAAACATTATTAAAACCGTTTGTCGACTCTTTATAGATTTTTTACCATTTTTTGCATTTTGTCAATTATCTTTAAAACTATAATGGATCGACCGAAACTTTGAAACCAAAACTCCCTATAGCAGATATTGCCCTTTGATGATGATTTTTACTTTTTATTTGTATTTTTGGCCGAAAGGTGGATGGAAAATGAAAAAAACTGTAACCAGCAAAATTGATCAATTAGACAAGATTTGCAAACAGATAAACATAGTCGAAATTGTCAGTCGACTCTTTTTATGAGCTATTCAGTGCCCTAAAATGACGAGTTATAGCCTTTTTAAATTTTGGGCAAAAATTACATTGAGAGAAACTGTAAACTGTAAAAATGATCAGCAATATAAGAACAAGAAAAAAGAGATTTTAGTCGTGATATATTTGTAAATCTACCTGTTTATATTCGATATGTTGGGAGAATACAACAAAAAAAGGAGAAAGATACGTAAAAGACAATACAAATTGTAGAAAGACCGGCAATACCATAGCAAAAAACAAAAAACAAACACAAAAAGACAACACATAGTCTACACGGGGAAACTATACACGAAAATATACCACAAAAGGGACGATTTGTCATTCCCTATTGTTAATTTTTCTTTTTTTGGACGGTGATGTTCCTTTGGCACATCTTAAAGTGTTTATATATCACAACTCGTTCGTTAGCCTGTGTCTGTTGTGACGTTTTGGATTTCAATGAACATAATCTTTGTAAAACTGGTAAACTTTTAAGTAAGGGATTTCATTACCACAAATTATTCAAAAACCTTTACTACATTCTTCAATAGATACAAACATTCGGTTTGGAAATTTGGCTTTATCTTTTTTTTCTGTTTTTCTGCTTTGTATCGATGTGATGAGTTAAGCCCTTTTTAACTGATTTTATAGTTTGTTCTTATGTTGTACTGTTACACCACTGTCCCAGGTTAGGGGCAGGGTTTGGCGCCAACAAACTCGTTAAACACCGTCTCATTTAATATAGGCATGTCCCAAGTCAGGAGCCTGTAATTGAGTGGTGGTTGTTTGTTGCTGTTTATCATATTTGTTTTTCGTTTCTTGATTTGTATAGTGTGTACTTGTGGTGTGCTGTTGCACCACTGTCCCAAGTTTGGGGGAGGGTTTGGCGCGCCTTTCTAGTTTAATCCCACCATATTCTGTATGTGCCTGTCCCATGTCAGGAGCCTGTAATTCGGTTGTTGTCGTTTGTTGATGTATATCATAATTGCTTTTCGTTCATTGTTTTATACATAAATCAGGCCGTTAGTTTTCTCGTTTGAATTGTTTTACATTTGTCATTTCGGGGCCTTTTATAGCTGATTATGCGGTATGGGTTTTGCTCATTGTCGGATGGTGACTTATTGTTGTAAATTTCTATGTCATTTGGTCTCTGGTAGAGGGTTGTCTCATTGGCAATCATACCAGATCTCCTTATTTTTATACAAAACGCTACATAGAAAACTAGGCAACACGAACCCCACTAATATCTGTTGACGATCTTAGGTGTTCCGGAAGAATATGCAGATCCTGCTCCTCATCTCAGATATATACTTTTGTATATACATTGGAAACTAAACATTTTAATGTGTAGGTTTGCACGCATGTTGTGTTTTGTGTTGTATAGAAAGAATAGCCCTTTTCCAAGGGTTTACTGAATTAACGTAAAACTAAGACTGACAATGCATGATTCCTGTAGATCAAATATAATACTGTTTTTACTGATAAAAAAACGACATTAAGACAATCAACACCATGTCAATAATTAATATATTCGTATTATGACTTCATAATGACAATACGAATTAAAATGGGTCGCTTCCACTATCCCACTAATGATACAGCAAATCTGTCAACAAGAAGTTATGCCGGAAAACATATCCAGAAAAACTCAAACTAACAATAGACAGATAAAATTATTTAATAACTATTATTTTTTATCGATTGTTTTGTGTGTTCATGCTACAGTGCATAAATACATTGTTACAAGACATAATTAAAACATATGTGAAATTGTTATTATGCTACTGACAATAATACGGATTTTAAAGTCTTCGACGTGAACATACCGAAATTCATACTTTCTGAAGAATACTTTGGGATACATTAATAATGTAATCATATTTTAAATAAATTCCAAAATTCCACAAATCTATCAACAAATGAGTTTATCTTTAGAAAGATAACAATATTCGAAATATCCAAACGTCTTTAACAAAATTAATAAAAAGCATGCTCAGATGATAACATTGTGTCTAATTATGTGATCTTTGTCTCAAGTTAATTTAAGACGACAATAATTTAAAAGTAAGTTATCAGAATTCAAAAATAAAAAAAAAAACATTACACTGTTTTTATTCATTAATATTCTTACCCAAATAACAAAATACCACCAGTAAGAACATTTACATTTATTTATTTCAGTGCATTAAAAAAAAACTAGTAATCTGCAGTTTCTTATTCATGTTAAAACTTTCTTTCCACATATTTATAAAACAGAAGAAACATGTCCTTGATCGGCAAAAAGTTAATAAAAGAGAGACAAAAGATACCAAAGAGACATTCAAACTCATACGTCAAAAATAAACTGACAACGCCATGAACAAAAAAGAAAAAGACAAACAGACAAACAACAATACACAATACATAACATAGAAAACTAAAAACTGAGCAGCACGAACCCCACCAAAAGCTGGAGGTGATATCAGGTGCTCCGGAAGGGTAAGCAGATTTTGCTCCACATGTGGCACCCGACGTGTTGCTCATGTTAGTACAAACCCGGTGATAAGTCTAATTTGGTAGGTCACCTTTGGGCTAAACGGGATGGGACTGTAGTTACGACAATCGGAACATATCCGTTGTCATCTGTGAAACAGATATTCCAATACGGTCGACCAACTCGTGATGGCAACCCGTAAAACTTTTGAAGGGACGATTGTAACTTCACCACTAGGAACTCTTTGTTTAATAGCTTTCTTGTGTGCATAAACAATAATACACATCTGTTGCAACCACTTACTGATCGGTATTGTTTTTAATTCTGATACTCAAAAACAAATCTAACTGATTTTGCTGTTATATGACATTGGTTGCTGTATTAACAACTTTGCAGGCACGTCGTATAGCTTCATGAGACGAAGATCCTCATTTTCATCTACAATCTTAATTGATGAACCTTACACAAGTATTCCCCATTCCAAACTAAAAGACAAATTGAAAGAGTTGGTCCTGCTTTGTTTTATTAAAAATAATGGTTAACGACGATACAAGTGTCTTGTTTTTAGGAGGGATATATCGTACTTTGTAAAAACTCACTCTGATTCAAACAAAACAATCTCTGAAACTGACATTAGATGCTTAATTTCTTGATTGACAACATATTTGTTATGTTTGGAGGACGTGTTTTCAACAAACAATCGACATGGGGACCAACTATGCTCCTCTTCTTGCCGACCTGTTCCTTTATTCATATGAGGCTGACTTCAAACAGGAACTTTTTAGGAAGAAATTAAAGAAGTTAGCTGTATCACTTTCCGCTATATTGATGATGTAAAC